TATTTTGTTACTCGGATATGTTATTTAAATAATTTCTATGAATATATATATATATATATATATACTATTGTGAGAGATGATAATAATAATGATAATAATAAGAATATATACGTGTGATCGAAAGGAAATAATAATAATAATATTTAAATTTTCCATGGAAAAAATTTTTTAATGAATTAATTTCGCTGAGTAATGTGAAAAAAAATTATTATTATTATTATCGATGTGGTATTTATATCCCATTACGTCATCATATCTTATATTGTATATAATATCAATGCTGTTGTTGGAATATTTAAATAGAACGATAACGTTTTTCCAAAAAAAATTGGGGGGGATGATTTATTAAGTAACGAATTAGCGGAGGTAATTTGTTAGTCGATTGTTTTCATATTAAATTAATTTATTTAAATAATCGTAATCGAATTTTAAAAAAAGAATTTTCTAGAAAGTTTTCTTCGGTTTGTAAAAAAAAAAAAAGGAAAATTCAATCGATAAAATTCGAAGGAAAAAAAAAACAACAACGCGAGTCTTTTCATTCACGTTGTTTAAAAGAAATATCGAACATGCGTAAAAAAAAAAAAGGGTTGGGTATTATTAGGTTGTTTTTAAAATTTTCTTCTCTTTCCCCCCATTCTCCTCCTATCCACCTCCCTCCCCCGCTCCCGCCCAAAAACATTTATTCGATCTTTCATTCCAATCCCCCCCAAAAAAAAAAAAAACAAAATTTACTTAAGAGAATGAAAAAAATTTCTTATATTTTATTCTCGAACGTAATTCATTTTTATTTACTTTTATTTTATTATCATTATTATTATTATTATTATGTGTACATCTTAATTGAAAAGTAAAATTAATTAAAAGAAAATTTATTAAGGATTTTCTATTTTAAAAAAAAAAAATTCTAATTCTCACAATGAAGTTACGTACGTTAAACAAAAGGGTTTTATTCATTTTTTTTTTATGACCTCTTGACCTCTTAGGAAAAATTTTACGTTAAAAAAAAATTATTGTTTTTCATTGATACGTTCATTCATGCGTTCGTTTGTTCGTTTTTCGATTATTTTAAACGTTAAAATTAATTTTTTTTCAAAACCGGAAGTCGTTAAAATATTTTATTAGTAAAAAAATCGTTTAATTTTCCGCGGCGAATATAATAACTGGAAAAGCGACGACATTTTATTTAAATATAAAACTCGCGCGTTCAACTGTCGTAAAACTTATTTAATAATTGAATTATGAATTAGTTGTATATATATATATAAAATTTAACGTCATAAACGACGCGATTTTTTTTTCAAACCGGAAATTTAAAAAGAGAAAGAGAGAGAGTGTGAGAGAGTGAGAGAGAGAAAAAATGGCATCGATGAACAAAATACATGAGAGAACATTAATCACGAAGAAAATCGAACGTACGGTTTTTCCTACCAAAATAATTTATCTTCGAGTCTAAAAAAAATTTTTTTTTTTTTTTAATTTTTTTAAGTTATAAATAATAAAAAAAAATGATGATAATAATGATGATGATGATGATGATGATGAAAATGACCAGACAAAGATTTTTTTTTATTATTTAAACCCCGAGAGAGAGAAAGAGAGAGAGGAAAATTTTCTTTTATTTTCTATCGGATTTTTTTTTTTTCCTTTTCTACGTCACATATTATTATTATTATTTAAAAGGGTTGAAAGTAGGGGGAGGGAAAAAAGGTTATCATTTGTTTATAATAAAAAAAAAAAAAGAAAAAGTTATTTTCATTTAGGTTAGCAAGTTTTCTTTTTAAGCTAAGAGGGAAAGTTTGAATTTTTGGTACTTTTTTTGACTTTTAAAAAATTAAATATTATTATTATTATTATTATTATTATTTAGAGTAATTAATTTCGAGAATGACTTTATGTATTTTGTAAAACCTAATTAATTTTTTTCTTTTTTCCTTTGTTAAAATAATAATAATAATAAATTTCTAGGAGTCTTTGTAATTTTTTTTTTTTTACGGTTGCAACAATTTTCGTCATCGTTATTATTATCATTATTATTATTTTATTTTTTATTAAAAAAATTTTATTTTTATTTTATGTTTTATGTGGATTTGTGTGTGTGTGTTTTCTTATTATTATTATTATTATTAAATTTTTTTCCGACGGAAAATATTAAATTATTTGTCAAAATAATTTTTGTTTTTTTTTTACTGTCTCATTTATTCATAATTTTCTTTTGTTTCCGACGATATATTTATTTATAAAAAAAAGGAAAGAAAAAGGAAAGAAAAAAAGGAATAAAAATTAATATATTAAGGAAAATTATATATTTTAGTCTTTAGGAAGAACAAATAAAAATGGATTCGCGATATGTATGTATGTATAAGTGATAAAATAAATATTTGATAAATTTTTTTTTTTTTTTTTTTTGTAAAAATATATTGATAATGATAATAAAATTTTTTAATTTAATTGGGGGTCGAGTGGTTTTCATTTTTGTTAAAATGAAGTTTTAAAAAAAAATATAATAATAATAAGAAGAAGGAGAAAAAATTTTAAGAGGATTTTTTATTTTTTTTTAAAAGCACTCGAAAATGAGCTTTTCATGCCCTTAAAAAAAATTAATTTTCTTTTTTTTTTTTTTTTTTTTTGTATAAATTCATGGAAAATATCCAGGAGGGAGTAAAATTAAATTTAATTAACACACTCTTATATAATGCCACGATAAATTTAAATTTTTTTTTCACTCCAAAATCATTTTTTAAAAAAAGGGGGGAGTGGGGGAAATTAGGAAAATTGATTTTTTACCCCCACCCCCCCAAAATAAAAAAAAAAATCAATGAATTATTATTATTATGATTTTAAACAAATAAATTTTTTTTTTTATATAATATTATAAATAAAAATGAATATGGAGGAATATGATGATGATGATAATAATAATTTGTATATGAATAATCCTATGCTCGGTCGGTACTTAATAAATTTTTATATATATAAATATAATTACCATGCATGAAATTTAACTTTATGAGTTTTATAATTTATGTAGAGTGTGTGTGAATATTATTCCCTTTTTTTTTAACTCTGGAGAATTAACATCCCGATAGAATTTTAAATTAAAGTTTTTCTGGAACCACGTTGTAACATTTTTTTTTCTTCATTTTTTTTTTTTTTTTTTTTAATGAAAAATATACAGATGTGGAGCGTATGCAAAAAATTACATGTGAAGAATGTTAATCAAGTTTATTACTTTTTAGTACAGAATATTTCTTTTATAATTTGATATTATTAATAATTATAATTAAAAAAAAAATGTCATTAAAATGTTAGTTTAATTAAAATAATACTTGATGTTTTTGTTACTTGCTAAAAAAAAAAAAAGTTAAATTATAAAATAAGAGTATTATGAATTTAAGACATGTTGAAAAAGTTCAGGAAAAGTTTTTTTTTTTTTTTGGGGGGGGGGAAAACTTTAAAAGGCCCGTGAAAAAACTAAACAAGTATTTAAAACTGAGACAAAAAGTATCAAAGTTTTTATTATAAACTTAAAAATTTTATTCAATACACATGTTAAAGATTTTAACAACACTTTTTCTTAAAAGTTTTTAATATTGATAAAGAGTTAAAGAGCATTAAAATAAAATAAAAACTATTTTCATAAAGTTTTGAATAAGTCAAATAAATTAAAAATAATTTTTTGAAATGTTATATTTTCTTAATATGATGAAAATAAAAATAATTTATTTCTTATTTTATTGAAAAACTCAAAAAAGTATGAATTTTGTAAATATATATATAAATGTAAATATTGGCGGCCATTTTAAAATCACAAAATATTTAATTAAATTGTGAAAAGTGAAATCAAATAATTTTACGCGGGAAGGCGTGGTTTAAAAAAATTCAAGATACGATTTTAAACTTTCCTTTATAAATAATAATCAATTGAAATTTATTTCGATGGACATATTTGATATTTATCGATATTTATCAGTTAAATGTTCGTTGAAATCATCAAACGGTTACGTTTTGTAAATTCCATGAAGCGTAATATATCGATAATCGCGATATTTTATTAAATCGAAATAAGAATCGAGTTATCGAAATAGAGAGTTAAAAATCGATTTGTGCAACTCATTAGATTTTAAAACGAAAGTTTCTTAAAAGTTTTTTAACATCGACGAATTTAATCAGTGAAACTTCATTTAATTAATATTTATATATAAAATTATATTTATTTTATAATTATTATTATTTTTTTAAAAAAGAAAAATGAATTGAAAATAAAGTGGCAGCATTGGAAATCGTAAAAACACAAACATGGAGGCCGAGTACAGTATTATTTTTGTGCGAATCGAAATGTAAAATGGTCGCATTTTATTTCAAATTGTATATTTAATTTTTTTTCCAGTGATTAAAAGCATAAATACGTAAGTGAAATTTTTTTAAATAGAAAATTAAATTTAGGTATTTATATTTATGCAGGTAAAATACAATTATCAGTTGGGTGACCATTGAACCCATCAGAACGACTATTTATTAGGGGGAAAAAAAAAAAAAAAAAGTAATAGTGATTTGTAGATTTTGATAATTGTGTGTCATTTTAAATGCATATATTGAATTATTCATAATAAAATTTTTAAAAATCGTTTATTTAGTGATTGCATTATTTTACAATGTGACGCATTATAAAGATATATTATTAAGAGGTGATTAGGCCAAGGACTTTAAAAAATAAATTTCTCTTAAAATAACGCATTTTTACTCGTACTATTCAAATTAATTTAATAAAATAAAAAAATAAATATAAAATTTATTTTGATGTGTTATAAGAGTGAGGTATCTAGTGAAATAAACAATTGTTTTTTTTTAATAAAAAATTTTTCATGTGTCAAACAATTTGTTACTCGAATCTGATTAATTTATATGTAATTATTATCTCAATGTGATAAAATCATTTGAATTCTAATATTTTTTTAGTTAATTTAATAAAAAAATTTTTTTCATTAGTTTTAGGCTTAAGGATGTCTGAATATGAAGCATGCCAGCATGCTTTAACCTCTGCATCTTACAGTCAAGTCGAATTAGCTAGGTTAAAAGGTCTCGGAAGGTGTGGATATTGCAATTTTCACGGAAGAAATTTATGGTTGTGTTTAGAAAAAGATTGCGGTAGAGTTTTATGTGGAGATGCAGAATCAGATCATTCTACTTTCCACTTTAAAGTAATTAGTTGCACATTTATTAAATAATTAGTTTTTAATTGTTTATGTATTTTTTATTAAAACCTAAAAAATATAACTAAATTTTTAAGGTAGCAAATATATTAGTCTCAGTGTAGTTATGTATCATTATTTTGTATTATTTAAAATTAACAAAAAATCAAAGTGTTGACAAAAGTCACGGGTCAACATTTTAGTAAAAGTATTCATTATTACATTTTATAGAATTATTATAGAATTTTTATAAAGATTAATTTATCTTATTAAATTACAAGTATTGTTTTAAAATAAAAAAAAAATATCATGTTACTGTTTAATTTTGTGTTAATTAATATTGCAGACCAACAAAACTCATTACATTCATCAAAATCTATCTTCGTTAAGACTATGGTGTTATCTATGCAAAACGGAAGCATTTTTAGGTTCTCAGACACCGAATGCGGTTAGAACATGGTCGGAAGACTACAGTGATTCCGAAACGAAGGAAACTTTTGTAAATGATAAAAAACCTAAAGGTATTAAGGTTGATTTTGTTTTTTATGTTTAAGTAACTTATTTTTGATAAAATTTTTAATTTTATAAATTGCAATACTTGATAATTATAACAATAAATCGAAAATCACAAAATTAAACATTTTTATTGGCTTTTTATTTATTTTAGGTCTTCAAAATATAGGTAATACTTGCTATATGAATGCTGCTTTACAAGCTCTGTGCAATACAACTCCTTTAAGCCAATATTTTTTACAATGTCTTGTGCTTGCCTCGAATCAAGAAAAGTTGACATTAAGTAAAAATTTTCAAAGGTTAAACAAAGAAATGTGGCAGCGTAACAGTCCAGGTTGCATAGTTCCCAGTGGGATTTTGTATGGAATTAGAAATGTAAATCATTTTTATTAAATAAAAGCATATTAGAGGTAATACAGAATACTTAATTTTGCACTTTCCATTTTTAGATTCATCCAATGTTTAGGGGGTACCAACAGCATGACACTCAAGAGTTCCTTAGATGTTTTATGGATCAACTGCATGAAGAATTAAAAGAACCGATAAGAGACTCAAATAATTACAGGGTAACTTCAGCAAGTCAGTACAATAATTTTAATGTCGAAGAATGGTTTTATTTAATTGTTTATTGTAGATTTAATGAGAAATATTTTCAACAGATCTTCCGAATGAGGTGGTGACGGATTATTCCGACGACGAGGAAGGAAATAAAGGAGACGATGCCAAGCAGGAAAATGTAACGGAAGGAGGTGCCTCAAGCGGTAGTCAATCCGAAGCAGAGTATGAAACATGCGATTCTGGAGTCAGCGAAAGAAGTTCATTAAGCGATGAAGGAGAACGGAAATCCGTAAAGAGAAAGTAAGCGGAAAAAGAAAATCAAATGTCTAGTAAATAAGTTTTCAAAAGTTTTTAGGCCTAAAATCCCTTGCTAGTGTTCATATTAGCAAGCGTATTGTCTAAATTTCAGACATTCTCATAGTTCATCTCCTCCATCAAGGTGTAGACTCTCATCTAGATTATATTCTAGTTATAGACAAACGTCGCAACAAAACTCACCAGTGAAATCAAAGAAAAAACCCGTGAAATACAGGAGCATCATTTCTGATTTATTTGACGGAAAACTTTTGAGTTCTGTGCAATGCTTAACTTGTAATAAGGTGAGCGGGTGGGATTTCCAAGCATTTGCTTTATTATCACTTCACAGTATTCACGTTCGAAACTAATTTACATTTTTCTGTTTAGATATCTACCAGAGTTGAAACATTCCAGGATTTATCTTTACCGATACCCAGTCGAGATCACGTGACTATGCTTCATCAAGGTAGCATTTCTCCTCAATCAATGACTACATGCAGTGAAACATACAAAGGAAAACCAGTTGAGTAAATTTGAGTAAATTTACTATTACGACGTCGACAAAGTTTAATTTAAATAAATAAATAATATATATATATATATATATTTTTAAATTTGCAGAGTTGGGTTTCTTGGTTATGGGAGTGGATGAAAAGTTGGTTTTGGGGTCCGACCGTATCACTCCACGATTGTTTAGCTGCTTTCTTTAGTGCAGACGAATTAAAAGGTGATAATATGTATAGTTGTGAAAAATGCAGCAAATTAAGGAACGGAGTCAAATATTCTAAAGTTTTGGATCTTCCGGAAGTCTTGTGCATTCACTTGAAGAGATTTAGACACGAATTAGCTTTTTCATCGAAAATAAATAGTTTTGTCAATTTTCCTTTAACAGGGTTAAACATGCGACCTTATTTACACAAAGGTAAATGTATCATTTTTATTTTCAAATTTTAATTTTAATTTTAATAAAAAAAATTTTAAATTTACTTTCTTTTTTTTTTTTTTTTCAGATTGTAAAAGTGAAGTGACATCATACGATTTGACGTCCGTGATATGTCATCACGGAACGGCAAACGGTGGGCATTATACTTGCTATGCTTTAAGTCCTTTCACGGGAGAATGGTATGAACTCGATGACCAATGCGTTACTCAAGTAGCCCCCGAAACAGTTAGCAACGTAGAGTGCTACGTATTATTTTACAAGTGAGTATGCGGACCCGTTAAACGTTTGGAATTAAACGAACCGAATGAAATGAAATATTTTTATTTTTTTTTATTTTTTTTTTTCCTTTTAGGAAAAGCAACGAAAAAATGGAGAAAATTCGTAATAAAGTTAGAGAACTTATATCTTACAAAAATAAAGAACCTAGTCTGATGGAATTTTACGTTTCAAAACAATGGATAAACAAATTAAATACTTTTGCCGAACCCGGACCCATAGACAATTCTGATTTTCTCTGCGTTCACGGAGGCGTTCACCCATCAAAAGTTCCTATCGTGGATAAGCTGTCGACCGTGTTGAGTCAAAACGTTTGGGAGTACTTATATGCAATGTAATTCAAATAATAAGGCTCATGATGATTTTTTTCTTTTTTTCAAATATGAAAATCTAAAAAATTCAATACTTTTCGTAGATTTGGTGGTGGGCCTGTTTGTAATAGGTTATACATATGCGGTGCCTGTCAACAAAAACAAGAAGCACTCAGACAAAGAAAGCAATATGAATTGTGTCGCTACTTGGCTTTACATCATGAATTCCAGGTTTGTCTCCAGGTTAATTGTTTTTGTTTTTGATTAAGTATCGCGCTGTTTCAAACCTTAAAATTGCAGCAAGGAGAATCTACGCCTGTTATTTATGGCCTTTCCATGCAGTGGTTCGGACAGTGGCAAGCTTTTGTACAAAATACGTCTGCGGAACCCCCGGGTCCCATCGACAACTCTCCAATTATTACCAACGTCAACGGTCAAAAAACTCTTAAAAGAGATGCCAACTACGGTCAAGTTTCTCAAGAATTGTGGAATTTTTTCAAAAGTGTTTACGGCGGAGGACCCGAGCTGGTTATCAAACAGTCGCAAAGAGTCACGAGCAGAAATTCGTGAGTTTTATTTAAAATCGTACCACCTGAAGTAAAGATTGGCAGGTTTATCGATACTTGGTATTTTTTTTATTTGTTCAGGTTCAGTAGCGGCATATCAACGGATAGAGAACTTGGACTAATACAACCGGGCAAAGCGAAAAGCGTCGATTCTCTACCCATAAATAGTAATCATTCGAATTCTTTATATTCTTTGTACAACACGAGGTCGTCTAGAGCTCAAAGTGCCAGCAGCGATAATATCGCTCTGAAAATGGCTGCCGTCAACGCCGCAATATCTCATAGGAAACAACAAAGTTTGGGGAGTTTGAAAATCGAGAGAAATGCACACACCGACGACGGTAACAAAAAAAAAAAAAATTTTTTTCCCCCTTATTTTTAACACGAGAATCGATTAAATCATTTTAAAACTTATTCGTTTGGCATTTTATTTTACTTTATCGCCGGATAGAAATATTAGGTATAAGTGAAAACCAAAGGACGGAAAATAAGGAGGAGGGAGAGGAAATAAATTTTCAAGACAATTATTCCCCACTGGAGGGTGACAGTGATGAATTAGATGAATATTCATATTGTCCGGCATTTACTCCCGATGAATTGGATGCTTACATTCCATTCAGAAAGTCAATAGGAAACGCAGAAAATCATAACATGCAATAAAAATAAATAAATAAATGGAAACGTTAATTAATTATTTTTTTTTTTTTCGTCAATAATGAATTTATCGAATGAAAAATAAGGGAAATAATAATAATAATAATCGATTGCCTACCTGCCTGCCTGCCTGTCTGCATTGTAATTCTTTGTTAGTTAATTAATTTTTTATTCGATAAATTCAAATTGGAATTATTTACATAAAATAATGTATATCGGTAACGGTACATCATTATTAACGTTTCTAGCAATAATTTAATTTTTCAAAAAAAAAGTCAATAATAATAATAATAATAATATTATTTGTTGTTGTTAAGTGTTTTATAAAATGTAGGTTTAATAATTAATTTAAACGAGATTATTATGTGAATTTTTTTTTTTTTTTTTTCATTATTATACCATAATATATATAATGAATGAAATATTAAATATAATAATTTATATGATGCGCATGTCGAAATGGAATTGGAATATTTATATTATTATTATTATTATTATTATGAGATTTGGGAGATAGTTTTTAGGGTGGGGTGGATCTGTGATACATTCTTAGTCATCTTTCATTATTTATGGTCATCCTTATCGAACTGTAACATAAAAATATAATTAATTGTCTATTTTTCAATGATTTATTTAATTATAAAATAAAAACCTTTTTTTTTTTTTTAAATTTGAATTATTATTAATAAAAACAAAACAAAAATATTTATTTGTAAAATGATGATGATGATGATAATAGAGAAAAATTATTAGGTTTGCATCAGTAAAATTTTCATGAAAATGGCCAAAAAAATTACCAACAAATTAAAAATTATATCGTCGTAAGTTAAACATTACAAAAAAAAATTTTTTTTTTTTTTTTCGGTTATGGATTTCGCGTATAAGGTATCTCCCCCCAAAAAAAAAAAAAAATTATCAGAGCAAAAAATCCAATACAATTAATTATTTTTATAACGGACGTATAATTTAATATATATATATAAAAATTTATAATTCGGGGGAGGAGGGGGGAAAGGGGAGGGAAAAAGAAAAAAATGTTATCGATGCACCTAGAGTCTTGCAATTAATTTTTATTGATTTTATTTTTTACAAGTTAAATACGGAATTTAATAGTAAGTAAATTTTCATTTTGAAATTATTATTATTACGAACTTGTTTTAAAATGATGAGGGCGGGGGAGGGGGGAAACTCGTAAAATTCAATGATAAAAAAAATAAAAAATTAATTGGAAACATTTTCAATATAAGATTTTTTAAAAAAATTGGATTTAATATTTGTAGGGGGCCATGTATAAAGCGCTGGGATTAAGTAGCGGTTGATTTAGGAACTAATAAGACGATGATCCACCTCGACGTTTCAATGCTCTCTATGTGTGTGTTGCTAACATGCGCGCTAAGCAAATTTGCATGTGCGACGACTCCTCCCCTAATTTTTCCAGTCCAGTTTATGAGAAAACGCGATGCAATGTAAGTCGAATGAGTGTTTATTGGGAAAATAAAAATTAAGATAATAATAATAATAAATATTATTAATAAGTTTAATTAAATAAATGTATTTATATATAACTAAATAATAAAAAAAAAAGTATTTTTATTTTCGTTTAATTGTCAATCAATTTTAACGTGAAGTTTAAAAAAAAAGAAAAATTGTTAATTGTAAATTACGGGTTTGAATGAAAAGGTAAATTTTATATTTTAAATATATTTCCAGTTGAAAAAAACCGTTTTTTTTTTTTTAATTAACGATATATATATAAATAATAATAATAATGATGATGATGATGATGATGATGATAATTAAATAGGAAAATAATTTATAAAAACTTTTCAACTTGATTTTACATTTTTGTTTGCGAGCTTTTTTTTTTTTTTTTTTTGGGTTTTAGTTTCATTTTTTTCATCAAGTTGGCAATTCCGAAATTCCCTTTGACGGGTCGTTTTATTGTGACGTCATTTAGAACTAAAATTTTTATATATTACGAAAACCCTTTAATGAATTTTTTAATGGTGATAATATCAATTCTCTTTTTTTTATATTTAATAATATTAATTATTGAGCAAATTATTATTATTATTATTTATTAATTTACGTCTTCTGCTATTCGATGAATTTTCATTTTTCTATCATTTTTCACCCTTTTTTTTTTTTTTTTGGATCGTTAAAATTATTTTTATTTTGGATTCCCACCTACGTTTATACAAACGTGTGTTATCTTGGAAAGTTTTTTGTTTTTTTTTTTTTAGCTTAAACATTAAAAATAAATTGAAATTTAAAAATTAAAATTTAAATTTAATTCCTTATTAATTATTAATTTATTTATTTATTTATTAAAGATAAAAAAGAAATGATTGAAGAAATTAAAACGAAATCAATAAGTTTCAGATTTGTTAATCCTTATAAATGATTTGTTATTAATTTATTTATTCGAAGGTAAATTAATCGTCGATTTATTATTATTATTATTATTATTTAAGATTGCGATGACGTTAAGTAAGATTATTTATTTTATAAAAATATAAGAAAAAAAATTTATTACAATGAAAATATTTCATATGTAGGAAACGAATATCATGGCGTGTGACGACGTCCTCGTGGATTAGTATTAAACTCATTCATTGTTTTTTTTTTTTTTTTTTTCTTTTGTAATGGCGGTCACGGTTTTTTTAATATTTTAATATTTTTTGTTGAAACCTACGACAGTAAAATTTGTTTTTGTTAAGGACTAAAAGTGTACCTATCGAAAAAAAGCACATTTTTTAAAATGAACCACGAGGATTGATTCGTATTGTAAAATCAGGCATCGATTTTTTTTTTTTTTTGCAATGTCATTAAAATTGTTTTTTTTTTTTCAATTTCAATTTCAATTTAAAATTCTAGTAATGTTAATAATAATAAAAAATCCTGGAATTTAATATACGTGTTTTTTTGGCAAAGTGATTCTTTCGCAATTAGCCTAATTACTTTTTTTTTTTTTTTGCTTTCTAATTATAAAAAATTAAATTTAAGAAAAAATAATTTTCGAAAAAGAAAAAAAAAGAAAAAAAATCTCATTACTTTTCCAAACAAATATTAAAAATCAAATCTTTCGAAAATTAAATCATTTAACTTAATTAAATAGTTTTTAAAAATGACAATTTTATTATTATTATTATTATTGTTTTAAATTCGATTTTTTAATTTAAATTTAAATTTAAATTTGAATTTTTTTTTTTTCGTGTGATTAATATAATAGACAGATGAGTATTTAAATTTTAGTTTAAGGAAAAAAAAAAAAATTGAAATTAAATAAAAATTGGATAAATTAAAAAAAATAAAGATATAAATAATCTTTGGGGGGCTGTGGGAGGAGGAGAGGTGGTATGGGGAGGGGGAAGGGCGGTAGGGGAAAGGGGGAGGGTGATAGGGTAGGTCTTAAGACCAAATTATTTTTAATTTAATTTTAAAAATCGTTTTAAAAAAAATTTTTCTTTTTTTTTTTTACCCTTAAATGAGTTAAAAGAATGAGTTGTTGTTGTTGTTGTTGTTGCAACAGGTTATTTTATTGCATAAATAATTTAAATATTAATAATAATAATAATAATAATAATAATAGTTTTTTCTTATTTGAAATGAAATAATAAATAGGGTAGTAAAATATCTTTTAGTTAGTTTCTTAGGGTAATTTTTAATTGTTGTTGTAAAAGCAAAAGGGGTTCATTTTCATTTTTTTAAAATATTTATTTATTAATCGATTGATTGATTGATTGATTGAATGAATGAATGAATCAACCGTGCATCTTATTAAGTTCTTATATATCAAAATGTTTTTTTTTTTTTTTTTCTCTTATTTTGGGTGAAGGGGTAAAAGAGAAAAAAGTTCAATTACCTCTCGATTGTTGTTGTTGTTGTTGTTTCGTTCATGATTTTTTTATTTGTTTTTAAATTAACGTATATAATGACAGAAGCGTATTATTATTATTATTAGAATAGAAAAGAATAGAAAAAGTCGGATAGTTAAATTTGAATCGATAAAAAATTTATAATGTTGTTCTTTTTTTTTTAAAGGTCAAACCTTTTTTATACCTTTTACCTTTAATGAAATTGTTTAAAAAAAAAAAAAAATTGAAAATTATCCAATTAAAAATTTTAAAATTTTCATTTTGCGACATATTATTATTATTATTATTATTAAAAATGAGAAAGATGAAATAAATCTTTTTTTTTTTTTTGTAAACTTTTGATTTTTTTTTTCTCACCCACGCTGAGAATTCTAATAGAAACGTTTTAACAAAAAAAAAAAAAAAATTCTAAAAAATTCTAAAAATAATCTAGAATGAAAAATTTTTTTTTTTAAATAAATATGCGCATAATATATATAAATATATCTTTATTTGCGTGTTGCATATGTCATAAACTATTGCCAAGTTAATTAATATAAATTTGAAAAATTTGTTTTTAATATATATATATATATATATAAATATATATAACCGGAAGATTTATTTTATATGAAGAAGAAGGAAAGAGACATTTATTTATTTATTTATTTAAATAAAAAAGTTAAAATAAATTTTTATTACTTTTAAAATAGTAGTAATAATGTAATGTTATTCGAAAAGAGCAAAAATTTTAAATATTATTATTATTATTATTATTATTAAAAAAAAAAGTCAAAAAGAAAATATTTTATTTATATATATATTTTAATGCAATCCTTTAGAAACGAAAAGGAATCATCATTATTATTATTATTATTACTGAATTTTTTTATGGTTATGAAAACACAATTTTCCATTTACTTAACAGGAAACAGAAAAAAGATTTTTATTATTATTATTATTATTTTTCACGTGAATTTTCCGAGGAAAATTTCTTTTTTTTCTGAAAACTTTTGTTGTTTTACTTAATGTTTTAATGTAAAATTTTTTTTTTTTTTCTATGCATTATTTATTAATAATTTTATTATTAAAATAAATAATAATAAATGATGATGATGATGATGATGTTTGTTTGTTTGTTGTTTGTTTTCAAATGAATGAATAAATAAACAAAAAAATAAATTTTCGAAAAGTAGTTGGATTAATAATATTAAGATTTCATCGGGGTTTGACTTTAAATAAATAAATAAATAAATAATATTCTTTTTCATTTTAATTTATTTTAAGTCACGTGATACATATTTTTTTCTAGAATGTTTTATTTAGTAAATTTTCTAAACGCTTATTTTAAATTTTTAAATGAAAATTTATTTAATTCGAATCGATAAATTTTCCCTTAAAAAAAAAAATTAATAATTACAATAATTATCGATATTAAAATTAATTTTTTTTTTTTACATAAGTTAAATAATAATTTAAAGTCCCCCCCCCAATTTATATATATCGTAATAAATAAATGTACGCATAGGATAAATAATTAATGTTTGTTTGTTTGTTTGTTTATTATTGTTTTTCATTTTCTTTTTTTTTTTTTTTTTTTTTTTTTTTTGTTTCAAAATACGAGAGTGTTTGAAGAGGAAATTTTCATTGAAAAAATGGGAGAAAGGTTTAGGGAAACCTTAAAAAAGTTTGAGGAAAAAAAAACTCCGATCAATTATAATAACTAACAACAACAAACAAACAATGAGGCATTTGTTGTTGTACAACAAAAGAGATACAATTCAGTTTTAATGTAAACTTTCGATTGATTGACTGTAATATTAATACAATATCGGAATAAAATATTGTTGTCGTCTGCTTATAAACGATACACGTAAAAAAAAAACAATAAATAATTTTTGCGGTTGTTTTTCTAATTTTGTTGTTGTTGTTGTTGTTGTTGTTAAATGGATATTAATTAATTTATTATAGAAACGATTAGAAAATTTTTTCCATTTAGAAACTTTGGCAAACCTTAGAAGGCAACAAACAGAAAGAAGGCAAACTAAACCGAAATAATAACAATTTTTGTTTGTTTGTTTGTTTGTTTGTTTGTTTAAATGATAAATAAAAAAAAAGAAAAACCTATAAGACGAATATCAAATATGTATATATAAATATATTTTGCGATTTTGAGAATTTTAACCTAAAAAATATTCAAATCGTATTGGATTTCATAATCGTTTTTATAACGCTGATTTAACATTCTTTGATAGATGAATTGTCATCGGATTTCTATGCCTGCCATTTGAAACGTAATTGTTATAACTAATCAAGTTTCTATCCAAGCATTTCTTTTTTCATCTTTTATTTAAAAGAAAGAGAGAGAGAGAGAGAGAGGAAAAATTAATTTCCATCTTTTTTTTCATCTAAGGTTCGAATAAAAACCTTCAAAACAAAAAAAAAAGGGTTGAAAATAAACGAGTTTTAGGAAAAGCTACCAAACGAAAAAAAAAAGAAAAAGAAAATTAGCATTATTTATTATTATTATTATTATTATTAGGCTTTATAATTCTGTTTGTTTTGTCGTTATTAACAATCGAAAGACAATTTTTACATCGAATGTGACAAGGTGACATTTTTTTTTTTATAACGAAGGTTTGCCATATTTTTTTTTAAAGGGGAGAGGAGGGGAAAAAGAAAAAAAGAAGAAAAGTAATTGAAAATAATGTCGAAATAAATAAATAAAATTTCTGTGAGTGATCGTTTTTTGTTTTTACATAAAGTGAATAATAATAATAATAATAATAATAATAATAATATAAAGGATAAAAGGAAAAATGGCCAAAATAGTAAATAAACCTGATAGCAGAAATGGACACGAGCTTGCTCAATTGAATAGTTCTAGAACGGGAGATGGAGGAGTTACAATTGTCGTATCGCCAACAAATGGAGGACACAGGTGAGGGCATGCACACGCACACACACACACACATTTTTTTGTTTTAATTGGGTGAATATGTGTCGCAGAGTAGAGGGAAAAAAAAAATATGGCTAACGTGTTATTGATGTTGTAAAGAATAAGACAGTGACAAATTGATTCGATCAGATGAATATTTGCGAGTCGAAGCAAAGTAGAATGAACCATAAATAATCAAGGTCAGGTATATGTGTATGTTCAAGTTGAAAATTTTTTTATGAGGGGGGGGCGAGGGGGATTTACACATTAACGATTTTAATAGTTGAACTTTACCATAGCCTGCTTAAAACTTTGTTTTTTTTTTTTTTTTTTTTTCGGTTGTTGATTGTATTGAATTTTTTTTTTTTTCTATGACTCTTTTCGATGACCTTTTAAGTTATGTAAAAAATACATAATGTCAATTTTACTCTTTTTTAATGAATAATAATAATAATAATTTGAATGATTGTCGGTAGGGGTTTTTTTTTTTTTAACTTTTCACGATGATGATGGCAACGTTTTTATTTATAAATTAATTTAATTCTTATTATTTATATAACAAATTTTGCTACATAAAAAAAATTTTGTTTTATTAAAAAAAAAAAAAAAGCTTATTTTTTATTTATTTATTTATTTTTCCGGGGTTTTTGAAAAAAAAAAAAAAAAAAAAAATTTTTTTTTTTTTACTTCCGTTAATTTAAAACTACTAAATAAATGGAACGCTTGCATTTTAAATATTATTTATTTATTTAAAAAAATTTGATATTTTTTTTTAAATTAAATATTTTTAATTTTTTTTTTTAGTAACAAGCAAAAATTATTATATATAAATATAAATTTCAAAGTATTTTAAAATTTAAAATCCAAAAAATAAAAAAAAAAAATTTAAAACCTGTTTTTCATTAGTAATAATTAATGGTCGCAGTGGGTTAATGTATGTGGAATAATTTTAATTTTAATTTTTTTTTTTTTGTGTGTGATTTTTTAATGAAAATGAAATTTTGTTGTTGTTGTTGTGGTTGTTTTTAACGTATTTTTTTTACCTACTACTACTACTCGGTCAAGTAAATGTTTGTGACGTTATTAATTATATTTACAAGTAGTAAAAATTATTATTATTATTTTTGTTTTTTTTTTTATTGAAAGTGATACGATATTATTATTATTAATTAAATTTTCCCTAAAAGGATTGATTGAAATTATTGGTAATTAATTTTTTATATATTTCTGAATTTTTTTTTTTATTCAAATGTAAAATTTATTTGTTTGGGGGGAAATAAAAATTTAGTACCTGATTATGATATTCAAACATAAACTTATACTACAGGGGGAGAATGCAAATCGATTGATTGATTGATTTATTATTTAAATTTTAAGAGATTAAAAGAGAGGAATCAATGATTATTATTAATAATGACGTCGTCGTCGTGTTCATTCCAATTTTTTTTTTTTTTTTTACACAAATTTCAAATTCAATAAATTTTATTTTATTTATTTTTTTATTTGTAATTAATAAAGGGGGGGGGGGGGGGGGACTAAAGGGGGATTTTTAGACAAAAATTTTTGTTTTTACGTTTAAAAAAAAAAAAAAAGTTTTAAAATTAATTTTCGAAATGTGTTCCATATTTTTTTTTTATCATTTTTTTTTTTGGAAAACTTTTTTTTTTAATGATTAATTATTCGAAAGTTTATAAATCGATGATTCATTTTTTTATTATTATTATCATGCATGGCACTTATTTTTTTTCCAGTTTTATCAATGAAAAAAAAAAATTTATGTCAAAATTTTATTTTTTTTTTAATTCGATTTAAAAAAAAAAAAAAAAAAAAAATTTTCTCGAATTAAAAAAACGTTTTAATGAATTTCATTTATAAAAAAAAAAAAAAAATATTACGTTGAAATTTAACCTTGACACCGTATTCTCTCTCTCTCTCTCTCTCTCTCTCTCTCTCTCTCTCTCTCTCTCTCTCTCTCTCTCTCTCTCTCGTGCCTTTGAAAAAATAAAATAAATAAAATAAAATAAAATTTTTAAAAAATTAATGCGTCGAACTTTTCAATTTTTTTTTTTTTTTTGTTCTATTATGTAGGTAAAGTTGTCAGATTTTGAAACATATCAAAAAGAATCCCGTAATTATTATTATTATTATTATCATTATTATTAAAAATTCATCAATATTCAACAAGGATTTTTTTTATTCGGCAAGCAAGGATTTGCCATTTTCCGGTTCCTGCGAAGAAAGATTTCAGAATACCTGACGAAAGGGTCAACTAGTTTATTTAACTCGTGGCATTTATTGCGATTTTTTTTTATTCCATAATTATTTATATTTAAATTTTTTTTTTTTACAAGTTGTTTCGACAAGTTTTACCCAGATTTTATTTTTTCTATTTTTAAATATCAGAAAAGATTATTTATTTATTTAAAATAAATTATTAATTTCTTTATAAAAAATTACAAAATGTTGTCACACTCACAGGTTTTTACTTTTAAACGAACCTTAAATTTTCTAATGATAAAAAAAAAAATGTGTTTGTTGTTTGTTGGTTGGCACACATAAGCTAAGTTTGTTTCATTGATTGTTATTTAAATTATTCAAAGGAAAAAAAAAAATCTTTGGCGTTACATATTCATCTGTGGATTAAAAAAAAAAGAAAATTTGCATCACAAAAGATTTTCTAAGAGTTTGACAAAAAAAAATGAGAAAAACTATGTATAGACATTGAAGATTTTTATTTTATTATTATTATTATTATTATTAATAAAAAATTTATTTTATTTTAATTTTCAGAGGTTCGATTGTTAACAGAGGAAGTTTAAGCATGGGAAGTCCTGGAGAAGAAAGAGCTGCTTGGTCTGGAAAATTACAATTTTTCCTAAGCATAATCGGATATTCAGTGGGTTTGGGAAATATATGGCGTTTTCCATATTTATGTCAACAAAATGGTGGAGGTAAGTAATGATTTATTTATTTATTTATTTATTTATATATAAATATAAATTGGGTTCGCGAATAATAATAATAATAATAATAAGATATTGAAATTGTCTATAAATGTCTTTGTTTCTACAACTTCTTCCTTTTTTTATGTATTTTCAAGTCACGAAACAGAAACACAAAAATCGATAAAAAAAAAAATTTTAACGCCGTGAAATTATTTTCGTATTAAAATTTTTTATTAATATTAGGGAGGAAGTTAATAATAATAATAATATTTTTTTTTTTTTTCGTTAATGAGATATTTTTTCAATGTCCGATTTTATTTATTTATTTATTTATTTTTACTCTAATATATACATAGTAAATATAAAAAAAAAAAAGAAAAAGAAAACCTTGATTTTTATTTTGCGTTAAAAAAATCAATAAATTTATTTTTTATTTTTAAAAAAAAAAAAAAAATTTTTTTTCCTCGACTTGGAAAATATGACGACTTTGAAATGTCAATTTTTCTTTCTTTTTTCTTATTATTATTTTCTTTTCGGGAAAATTTTTTATGGATGAAAAAAAATAATTTTTTTAACGAAAAAAAGAAAAAGAAAATTTTATTCGAATTGTATACGTTAAAAAATGGGCGGGGGGGGGGGAAAGAAGAAAAAAAATTAAATTTTAAATATTTAACATATAAATTTATTATTATTATTATTATTATTATTATTATATTACACAAATTTTTAGCCTTGTATTCTTTTTTTTTAATAAACTAAAAATAATTATTTTTTTTAACGTTTTTTTTTTTTTTAAATTTGCACGTGTTATTAAAAAGCATCAAAATGAAAAAACCAGTTTTTTGTTTTTTTTACGAGAAAAATTTTCTTTATTATTATTATTATTATTATTATTATTATTATTATTATTATTATTATTATTGATACGTTAGATCTTTTTGAAAAATATCAATGAATTAATTAATTAATTTTTTTTTTTTCGTAAACGAATTATAAAAAATTAAATTTTTCACGTAAAAAAAATTTAAAAAATTTAATAATTGAACGTGACGTCGTTAAAAAAAAAAAAAAAATAAAATTTTACACAAAGCTTTTTTCCTTTTTTTTTTAATTAAAAGTAAAAATTGATTGTTCTTTAATAATTGAATCTTTTAATAATAATTATTATTATTATTATTATTATTATATATTAATAAAAATAAATGTTAAAATTTTTAAAAAAAAAATTTGAAATTTCAATTCAATTATCAATTGATTTTAATTAATGAATTCGAATATTTTTTTTTTTAAATTTTATTATTTTATGCGAATTTTTATTTTATTTTATTTTATGTAACAAATTACGATAATAATAATATGATGATGATGATGATGATAAAGGGGATAACGAGATATGTACATATGCGACGAGAAAAATGAAAAATTTATTTTGTACGAGAATTTTCATAAAAATTAATATCCGGTTTTTCGCTTTTTTTTTCCTTTTTTTTTTTCAACATGGCCGAACATGTAACGGTTTTATTTTTATAGTTTTTTTTTTTTCTTTTTTTAATATCTTATTAAATTTCAAACAAATGAAAAAAACGGGAAAACGGGGAAAAAGAAAAATTTATCATTGAACTTTCAAAAAGAAAAATACCAGACTCAATAAAAGAAAATAAGTAAATGAAAATGTACAGATCGAATTTTTTTGTTTCGTCGTAAATCACATAAAACTGTTGTCAATAATAATAATAACAATAATAATAATGATAATAACGAGGATGATGATGATGATGATGATGATAGGTCGGGGAAAATTTAAGAGCCGATATTATAAATTAAAAAATATAATCGTAAATAATATTTTTTTCGTAATGTGTATAAGAAATAAATTTTTTTAGAAAAGAATTTCTTTTGTTTTTGAGTTTTCTTTTTTTTTTTTTTTTTTTTTTTTTGAGGAAAAGGAAAATTTCATAAAAAAATTGTTGTTAAGTTATTGTTGGTTAGACATTAAAAAAAGAAAAGGAAAAAAGAAAATTTTGTGCGCATGTTTGTACTGTTTTGAATGAAAAATTTTCACAGATTCAAGTCGTTAAATTTTCCACACAACAAGGTTAATTTTTTAAAAAAAAAAAAAAACACGTCAGCTTTTTTTTTTCAAAAATTTTCTTATTGAATTTATTATTAAAGATTAACAATAAAAATTAAAAGAGAGAATGAGAGAGAGAAAGAGAGAGAGAGAGATAAAAATATATATATTTGCGTGGAAAAAGAAAAAATTGACTGTTTTAAACAACGTAATAATTGCGGTTGAAAATTACATAACGCGCGCTCAGTTGCAACGACGTGTCAGCAGTAAATGTAAGAGAGGGAAAAAAAAGAGAGAGAGAGAGAAAATCTGGAAGACGGGGAGCTTTTTACATTTTATTGATTTTAAAAATTGTTGCTTTATCGATGTGTGTGTGTGTGTGTGTGTGTGTGTGTGTGTGTGGGAGAAAGAAAGAGATAGAGAGAGATTTAAAAAAAAAAAAAATAAGAATCTTACTTACTAGTCTAATGACCTAAATTTTCCTCCCATAAATTTTTCCCCCCCCCTCTCTCTCTCTCTCCTCTCTCCCCCGAAAAAAAAAAAAACAGAATCTATTGAATTGTACGGTTTTTGTAAATACACAAAAAGGAAAATAATATATCAAGAGTGTTTAAACGGGGGGGGGGGGGGAAATGGAGTGGGAAATTTGAAGTCCCAATGTAAAAAAAAAAAATCTTTACAAGAAAAGAAAAAAAGGGGAAATTTTTTTTTTTTATAATGTTTTCTTTAGATTTTTCATTTTTCCCACATGAATAAAAAAGAAAAGTAGGTCTGCGAATAAGTCTTTTTCAAATGGAAAAGAAGAAAAAGAAAAATTTTCTTTTTTTTTTTTTTTTTTTTAAAAAAATTGGTTTTTCTTGTTTTTTTGTTCGGGAATAATTTAAAAAATGATGGAAATGATTATAAATAAAAACTTTTCCTTTATTCGACCATTTATTTATTTATTTATTACTTATTGTTTGAATATTTTCCAATTCTTTTTGTTTTAAATCCACCTTCGTTAATTAGTTTTCCGGTTACCAGAAAATCCCGTTTTTTGCAAAGGATTTCACGTGGGAAATCGACGACATTTTTAAAAGGTTCGCGTGCAAAAAAAAAATTTTTATGGCGATAATTTCATTGTGCAATTTTTACATTTTTTATAAAAAAAATTAACAAATAATTCTAATTGTTAATCAAAAAAAATTTACAATTAATACATTGTCGTTATTATTATTATTATTATGACGCAATTAAAAGAAAAAAAAAAAGGAATAATAATAATAATTTTTTTGTATTTTCGAAAGAAAGAAAGAAACACCTTTAGGAAACACTTGATGATTAAATGTTATTGTGTTTTCCGGGCATTAATATTTAAATTTTCCTTTTTTTTTCCTTTTTTTTGTTTTGCACCGTTTTTTTAATGATATATATTGAACGATATTATTATTATTATTATTTGAATGTCAAAATCAAAGGAAAAAAAAAACGTTTCGATCTCTTTCATTAAATTTTTTTTTTTTCAATGGAAACAAACAATTGAATCGATCGTAAAAAAAAAGTGGTTTTAAAGTTTTTTTTTTTTTTTTTTTTTTTTTTTTGGGGGGGGGGGTATTAAAAAACTAAACTATTAAAAAATTTCGTCTGCTTTTAAAATATATGTATATTTCTTTAACTTTATAAATAATATTTGTATATATAAAAAAACACATTTTAACTTTTTTTAAAAAGTTTTAATTTAAATATTTTACTTATAAATTTATTTTTCGGACGTTTATTATTAATATTTTGTATGTACGAGAAAATTTTCCAAGGGTTCGGTTCGTTGAATTTCGATTATTTTAATGTATGTTATTATCATTATCATTTTTCTCGTTGAAATTCGGGAAATGGTATTTTCCCCAAACAAAAAAAAAAAAAAATTTTAATTTAAATTATATGTACGTACGTACGTTTTGAATTTTATTCGTAAATAATATTTTTCCATGGGAATCCCCTTTTCTTTTAATTATTAAAATAAGTGCATAAACCGAAATTCGTTTTTTTTGAGAGCGAGAGAGAGAGGGGGGGAGAAAAGAAAGAGAGAGTGAGTGAAAGAAAGAGAGAGAGAGAGTGGACTATGCAGATTTTAAATTATTTTAACCGAAAAAAAAAGGCTGGCAAAAACAATCGAGCATTGTTTAAAAAAAAAAAAAAAAATTGTGTTAACGGTTATTTTTTTTTTTTTTTTTTACATTGTATTTAGTTTAAAATAAATAAATGTGTAGAGAAGGAAACACTAATGGAAAATTTTCATAAAGGAAACCATTTGGTGGTTTTTTTAAATTAAAACGAATGTTTAGAGAGAGAGAGAGAGAGAGAGAGAGAGAGAGTAATTGTGGCGTAAATTATATTAATATACATAATTTTTTTTTTTTAATATAATTTTTACTTAGTGTTGATGATCGGTGTTTGGCCATTCGGTACTAATTACTAACAATTTAGTAGTTACCCAACCGAGTTATGATGTATTTTAGTCAAAACAAATGGGGCGGGGGTGGGGGGAATTCATCAAACGTGGTGATTTCTGAACAGTTTAATAATTATTTTCATATTATTATTAATATAATTCCTTTTTAATGTCATTGTTATTGTTAAATATTGTTAAAATGAGTTGGTTGTTTTGAAAAAAACCATTTTTCCATTTTAGTCAGCTAACATGCGCATTTGAAAATTGATACAAATTTTGTTGTGTTAAGGGGAAAAATGTATTATTCCGCTGTTTAAGCGTTTAAATCCGATCTAACGTGATTTAAAATTAACATTTTGATTTTATGTCATTGTTTTTGAGTTTTTAAATAATAGAAATCGTAAATATTTATAAGAGAGAGAGAGAGAGAGAGAGAAACTAATAAAATTAATAATAATATAAATTTGTTTTTTTTTTTTTATATAGAAATGTCTAAATTTGGTATATGGAAAACAAGAATATGGATTTAATGATTAAATTAAATTGTTTTTACCAAAAATTTTATGTTTATTAAAAAAAGACTTATATAAAGAAAAAAGGAAATTGTTTTTTTTTGGAAAAAAACGTGATTTTATATTATTAATTATGTCGAAGAAATAATAAATAAATGCTAGAAAAGTTTAAAGTTTGTTTTAATCGTGTAATTTAATATTATTTATATCAGTCAATCAATCAATGGCGATCGATTGTTTTCCTTATATAAAATTGCCATCATTCCCCCCGTTTGTCGTTTGTTCGATTAACAATTTTGAAAAAAAAAACTTTTTTTCATTTTTCAGGTGCTTTTCTGATACCCTTTGTCATAATGTTGATATTAGAAGGGATACCACTTTTTTTAATAGAAATTGGAATCGGACAAAAAATGCGATTGGGAGCCTTGGGAGTATGGAATACGGTACATCCTTGGTTGGGTGGCATTGGTATTGCCAGTTGCATCGTAACCTTTTTCGTTGCTTTATATTACAACATAATTATAACTTGGTGTTTTTATTATTTCTTCAATAGCTTCCAGGTGAGTGATGAATAAAATTCCATAATTCCATGTTCTTCGCTTATTCGTCGCCATTTTTGTTGTGTAGTAGTAAAAAAAAACTTTTGTGGCAAATAATAAAACTATTTTTTTTATTTTATCCATTGTGCCAAAGTTCCGTTAAAGTGTGTGCGTGTGTGCGTGTGGGGTTTGCAAAATATATTTAATTATCATAAAATTATAAAACTGCTGGAAGATAAATAATATCCAGTATGGAAAGAAAAAAAAAAAGAATGTTACTTTCCTTTTTTACAAAAATTTTGCAGACTCGTTTTTTTTTTTTAGTTTTAGTTTTAGTTTTTGCAATATTTTAAATTATATAGTTTCCTTTACGAGAGGAAAATTTAAAAAATTAAATTAGTCATAATAGTTTTTAAAAAAATTTCCATAATAATTTTGCGAGAAAAAAAAGGAAAATTTAACAGGTGACGTCATTAATTATTTAAAGATTCTGTTCGTATTTAAAGATGTGATTAAAATTTATCCAAGAGCGACAAACTAAAGTTTAATTTTTTTTTTTTTTTGAATATGATTTAGTTCCATGCAAACAACACAAAAAAAAAAAACATTATGTTTCCGGAAACATTTCCGGTTTAATGAAATAATAATAATAATAATAATAATATTAAAAATAGACTAATTTACCATCGAATCAAGGTAGGTGAACTGCCTTGAGACTCGATTCATAAATATTATGATTTGAGACGAAAATAATAATAATAATATTTTACGGAAGTTTAATTTTATTTATTAAAAACAAAAAAAAAATGTTAGCGTCCGAAGAATTTAAACAAAATATAAACAATATCGATTGTTTGCAGAAGAACAATTTTGAAGTACACCCAAACCACTTTACACGGGTAAAAATTCAATACAAAATTTTTTTTTTATGTTTTAGTCGCCATTGCCTTGGAGCGAATGTCCTGTCGTCAATAATACTGTAGTTTACGAATGTGAAGTAAGTTCGGAAACGGCATATTTTTGGTATCGTACCACATTAGACGTCGCACCGAACATTGAAGATCATGGTGGTCTCAAATGGTGGATCGTATTGTGTTTAATTTTATCATGGATCACCGTTTTCTTTATCGTTATGAAGGGAATACAAAGTTCTGGAAAGGTTGGTCGAAGCAAAAAGTTTAATGGCTACCTCTTGGTTGAGATACTGATAATTACTTTTCAAAAACGATTGATTTGTTAATAACATTTTTATTTATTTTTTCAGGTTGTGTATTTTACTTCCATGTTTCCTTACATCGTTTTGACAATATTTTTCGTCAGGGGTATTACGTTAAAAGGATCGGGTGCTGGTTTAATGCACATGTACACTCCCAAGGTTCGTTTGAAATTGGGTACATGCCTATATCGTGGCGACAACATTTACGAATGTACTCATTTGTTTTTCAGGTAGAAAAATTATCTGATCCCACCGTTTGGATGGATGCTGCAACCCAAGTTTTTTATTCATTTGGACTCGCGTTTGGATCTCTAATTGCATTCGGATCGTACAATACTCCGAAAAATAATTGCGTGAGAGATGTTATATTGGTATCCATTTGCAACGCAGCAACAGCAATCTATGCTAGCGTTGTCGTTTTTGCCATTTTAGGATTTAAAGCCATGTTGAACTACGACAGATGCATTGATGGGTGAGTGAATTTATTTTTTAAATCGAGTATTCTGTACCCGATGTTAACATGTTTTCTTTTTTCAGTAATAAAATCAAACTCGTATCTCATCAAATTATTCCAAGCGTTAACATAAGCGAATCCGAATACGATTTGATTCTTCGTGAAAAAGTCACAAACCATACGATGTATGATTTGGAAGAATGCAGTCTGGAGAAAGAATTGGATCAGGTACGTAATAATTTGTATTATGAACGTCGGCGATTAGAATGTTCTAAATTATCCGTTTTAATTTTTTTTTTTTTTGGTATTGTACAGGCTGCTGAAGGTACTGGATTGGCATTCGTCGTTTTCACGCAAGCAATTGTCGAGTTACCCGGAGCTCCATTTTGGAGTGTGATATTTTTCATGATGCTTCTTTCCCTCGGAATTGGATCTCAAATAGGAATTCTCGAGGGAATGTTATGCACCATTTTCGATATAGAAATATTCAAACGGATAAAAAAACAATATTTAACCGGTAAAAAAAAAAAAAAATTTCAATCCTTATTACTTCACTTTATTCTTGTCTTTAAGCTCACCTTTAAAAAAAACTGTTAATTTACAAATAATAATAATAATAATTATGAATGATAAAGAATCTTTTATTTAAATAATAATAAACGTGTGTGTACCAAAAAATAATTTCCATTGAGCATTCATTCATTCATTCATTCATTGAATGAATGCTAATTTGTCAATTAGTATAATGTTCTCGAAGAAAATATGAGTAATATGTCATGACGTGTATGTTTTTTTTTTTTTTTTTTTTGTTAGGTTTCGTCTGTTTGATTTGCTGCATTGTAGGATTATTGTTTTGCACTGGAGCCGGTGAATATTGGTTAAAACTTTTCGATTCATTTGCTGGAACTATCGGTTTAGTATTTTTAGCACTTTTAGAAACGTTTGCTGTCATGTACGTGTACGGTCACGCCAAGTAAGTTTTTCTTTTTTTTCCCCCCCCCCTCCCCCTGCACCGTCGAAACTTTTATTGATCAATCAAAGTAAATCATTTTTATCGTGATATATTTATTTAGGTTTACTCAAGATATCGAAGATATGACTGGTTACAGACCAGGATGGTACTGGCAAATAACGTGGAGATTTATAGGTCCCATTATAATGACCGCCATATTAGTTTCATCGATTGTTTATAGGATTGTCAATAAGCCTACATTTTCTGCTTGGGATTCAAAAACGGTAACTAACATGAGACTAAATAATTTTTTTTTCCAAATTAATTTTTGATGAAATCTAATAAAAATGTATTTTCAGGGTGAAACATTTCCTGCTGAATATCCCACTTGGGTGTTAATAATAGCTATTATGATGATATTGGCTGGAACGCTACCTATTCCTTTAGTATTTTTACTTAGGTACGTATCCTTAGTTTCATTAAAAAAAAAAAAGGATGACGGACACACAAATTTTAACATAAATTTTTTTTTTTTTTTGTTACAGGCGATTCCAGTGTTTGAAACTGGATGTAGATATTCATCAAGGTTCGATCAGAAGAATTGATACGACGGTATCTACAAAAGAAATGATGGGAGACATGGATGTAAGTAGAAAAATTTTATTACATTTACCTTTTTTTTATTTTTTTTTCGTAAAATATTACGGGGCGTAACGATTCGCGAACGGATTAGAAAGGATTTAAAAAAATGATTTATAAAATATACAGCTCGACGAATATCGGGATTTACCACAAGATGATCTCGAAGATGAGGATGACGATGACGATAAACCAAACAACATACAAACATTGAGAAACACGAGGTTAAACACAAGAACGGGGAAAAATTTTAAAATGGAAGTCATGGATTTTTGAATGGATTTTTTTATTCGTTTAGCTCAATAGAAAATCAATTCTCGAATGTACTCTATAGAATAATCTAGAAAAAAAAAGAAAATTATTTAATTATAAGAATGATTATTGATATGTATATATATATATATATGTCAATAACTTATTACATTCTCAAGAATTTTACGTCCATTATTTTTATACCAAAAAAAAGAGAAAACTATAAATAAACTCGGTTTTTATTTATTATTTTACATCCCTACTTGCATAACAACCATTAATTATTTAATAAAAATAACAAAACAGGTATAATAATAATAATAATTAATCGAAAATTTACATAAAAAAAAAAAAAATACTGAGAAAAATTTTTTTCTTGAGAATAATAATTTTATAAGTGCTCAATTTAACTACATATATATAAATAAATAAATAAAATAATTATGTACATAATTTATTTAAAAAAAAAAAAAGGTTAAATGTACCCTGAAAGGAGCCTCAAATCTTCAAATGAAGCATTTATTAGGTGTTAAATATGGGATTTTTTTGTTTACAAAATTACAGAAATATAAACAAAATAAGGGAAAATTATGTTTACCACAGTGTGAAAATAATAATAATAATAATAATAATAAATCACGAGGATATTATACTGTACGAAATATCTTAATAAGATAATTTAATATATAAAATCATAATTAGGAGTAGATGAGATGATATAATAAAAATTGATTATTTGAAAAAGTCAATTCGATTTGGGGGGGGAGGGAGGGGGGAATTTCAATATCAAATCGTGAATAATATTAAAATCTTAGCTCTTATCGTAAAAGTTTTTTTTTTTGTAAATGTAGATGTTGGCGAATTAAATTAATTAATTAATTTAAAGTATTTATTATTATATATTTAAATATCATTTAAAATAAAATGTGATCATTAAAACTCGTCAAAAAAAAAATTTTATTGATTTTTTGGCTGTGTTGTTGTACTTTTTCTTTTTTTTTATTTTTTCTTTTTATTTTCTTTTCTTGTATAATAATAATAATAATAATAATAATAATAATAATAATAATAATAATAATAATAATAAGTATTAATAAGTGAGTGTTAAGTAAAAGGTTTTGTTAAATACATTTTATTAATTTTTTTATGTATGAAAAAAAGGATGGGGAGGAGGAAGGAAGGGGGAAAAATGAGATTTTTTATTTTTATTTGATTTTGTGCATGTGTGTGTGTGTGTGTGTGCGTGCGTGCGCGGTACGTTTATTGTTGTTTTTGATATTTAGCCAAATGCTAACAAAAAAAAACGTTTGAATAAGTTTGTAAACTTTTTTTCTTTTATTTTATTTTTTTCTCTTTTTTTTTTGTTGTTTATTATTTTTATTTAATCGAATTTATATATATATATATAGTTACCATCATTTATTTAATTTTGTTGAATTTATAATTCAAATAAATAAATAAAATAAATAATAAATAAATAAATAATTTAGATGAATTTAAATACGAAAAAAAAAAAAAAAAGTATTTTAATAAATAGGAAAAATAGAATTAAAATTATAAATTTCGCCTTTAATAAATGTCGTTGAAAAATAATAATAATAATGATATTGATAAAATAAATCATGTTTTGTAGTCTGCAATTATCGATTAATTTTTATGGATGATGATAATAATAATAATAATAATAATAATAATAATAATAATAATAATAATAAAACTTGAGAATTAAAAACAAAACGTAAATATTGTAAAGAATTCCGTAAAAGGGCTCAAAAAAATAAATTATTTAATATTTATAATTTTTTTTTTTTTTTTTTAGTTTTTGGGGTATTTATTTATTAAAAAAAAAAATTCATTTAAAATAATAATAATAATAATTAATAATTTTGTGCCACGAAATTTTTAAAAATATAACTTTTTTTTTTAAATAAATAAAAATTTTATGTTTATAGTTTTGAATTTTACAAAGAGCTCGTTTAAAATTTTTTCTCTTTTTTATTTTTTTCTTACGTTTTATTTATTATTATTATTATTATTTATTTATTTTATTTTTTTATGTGTAAATAAAAATCGAGTACCTAGTCATTGATGAGATTTTTATTTTTTATTTATATAATAAATATATAAAACAAGAAAAAAAAAAAAAAAAATTATTCGGTTAGTTTAAAAGACACGCAATAAATTATTTAATATAAATATATATATATGTATGAAAAAAAATTAATTAATAATAAGTAGATTTATGTTAAATTTAATTATAATTAATTATTTAGAAATAATAATAATAATAGGAATAGGTATAGTATATAAGTGAATAAATAATAATAATAATCGGTTTAAATTAAATTAAATTGAAAATTTTTTTATAATTTAAATTAGGGTTTAAGATAATAAAACAGAATATATATATATATATATATATATATATTCTTGATACTGATAAATAGTGCATTATTCGTTTAATTAAATTCATTTTAATTTTTTTTTTTTTTTTGTTTAAATTATTATTTATAGACGTTCGTTGTTAAAAAGTGATTTTTATGAGGGGTCGTAAGAAGAATAAATAAATAATAATAATAATTTTTAATCTGATAAATAATTAAATCGAACGATAAATTTATTATTAAAAAACAAAAAATGTCTTGAAAAGATAATATGTTTTTAAAAAAAATCAGCTATCGATCGATCGATTAATCGATCCATCGATTGATCGATTAATCGATTGATCGACAACATATTATATATTTAATTAAATATAAATTAAAAAAAAAAAAATGTTAAAGTGATTTATAAACAGGGCTGGAAATCCCAACAACAACAACAACAAAATAGAAATTTTAATTTAATTTATTAACTTATTAAAGTTTTAAAATACGTAAATTTTAATCATTTCGTACTATTTAATTTAATAATAATAATAATGATAATGATAATGATAACTTTTCAAGACATCTTCAAACTATTTTTTTTTCCACCCCATTTATGTATATTTGGCAGCACAAGCCTTATTATTATTATTAATTTTAATTTGATTTAACTTATCAAAATAAATAAATAAATAATTTATATATGTATATGTATGAAAATCACGCTGGTCGTATATGTAATGTTTAATTAATAATAATAATAATAATATGTAATTATAAAAAAGGGGAAAAAAATTTATTTTATTAAATGATAAAAAAAATAGGTAGAAGGCATAATTATGAATGATGATAAAGAAAAATAATAATAATTTTTTTTTCATTTAATTAATCATCATTATTATTATTATTATTTATTTATTTTTTTTAATATAAATTTGATTCTCTTTATTTATTAAAAAGAGAGAGTACAAAAATAATTTTTAATTAATTATAATAACGTTTGCGTG